AAACATTACATTAAACACTTTGGTTACATGGAAACCTTACAATTTTGACTTGATGTTGAAGGCTTTGGCCACTGGTCAAATAATCAACTGATAGAAAATTAACTAGCCATGGATTAAATTTCATTGGGTTATCTACAGTTTGTAAACAAATAGCCCACCTGGGGTATAGAAGTCAGATTCTACCCACTCCACTTACTGTGTAACATGGAGGCTCCCCTCCATTCAGTCATAAACTGGCCTTTTGTTCTCTTTGAATTTATCTGCAAAAATCCTCTTAACCTACAACTGAGGTATTTTGAATATTTTGCTGTAACAGATAACAATGCTGACAGCTGTAGAGACTTCATTCCTTATTTTTATGTTGTGGAAACTGATTTTAAATGAATTTTAAAAGAAAGGTAAGCGATTGGGTGGCACAGTAGGTGTCTTCCCCGTTAACCCAGGAAACATGGGTTCAAATCCTACATGGGTCATGATCATGTTTCTTCACATTGACACCAGAATTGGTTAGTTCTAGGAAGAGGTCAAAATACTTGTAGGAAGAGATCTCCATACTGTTAAGTTCTAGAAAAAGGTCTCAGTACTGGTTTTAGTTCTGACAATGTCTCAGTATTGGTTAGTTCTTTTATGGTTAGTTCTTGCAAGAAGTCACAATACTTGCTAATTCCGGGTAGAGGTCTTAGATGAAACGATTGAAAGGTTTAAGTAATTGAGCATGCCTGGTCCTGAGGTAAGGGATAAAATGCTATTTGACCCTTGATTTGTCTCAAATCTTTAATGTTTTTAAATTGCATATTAAAAGAGCATGGTTCAGATTTCAAAAAATTGCCAATAAAATATTATACTTTAAATATCAACCTGCCTCCCTTGTTTCTAATTATTGGACAATAAATCAGGAAAATGTTGCCAAATTTTCTTTTGTGCTTTTAAGTATGGCCCTTCAGTTGTTGAGCAGGGGCAGAAAAATCAATTGTCCATATTGCCCAGTTTGTCCAACTGCCTGAACGGACAATATTAATATCATACAGACAAGTTAAGAAATGCTTCAAATAAAAACAAGACTTTGTTGATATACCTCTCCTATTAATCATAAAGAGAGGCAACTCAATTAAACAAGTTCAATTTGTAAGATTCAGAGTTATCTTTTCTTTACTATGTATATTGAGCCTGTTTTGAACAAACACACCAAAGAACAGTAAAACAAGTTTGTAAATTGTTATTTTAACAGAGTAGAAATTATACACAAATATGTATATATATATTTTTTTTAATTTCATGCCATTTCACAACATTTTCACCATATCAAATATTAAGAAATGAAAAGGAAATTAAAAATGCAATTTATCATTTGTTATACACTACTGTTTCATTTTCATTCTACCATTTAGCATTGTGCCTTATCTCAGATCTCATTCCTATATAAAAACCCTGTCTAATCACCTGATAATGTAAACTTCAAGCAGGGCAAAAACCTGGTAAACACATACAAATAATATACTTTACAGCAAGTATCTGCGAAATATCAACAAATTGGATTGTAATTGGCTAGTAATAAACATTTCAACATATAGGGCATTCACTAGATATTTTTTATAGGCCAGATTTATAGAAATATTTTAAACTGGGTTTTCAACTACATGTAGTTTACTCAGATCATGGTCTTCCCAGATGAAGTTAACGAGTTTGGATAGTGACTTGTGTCTTAAACTTTGAAATTAGTAAGTTTTGTTTCTCATTAACTGTGTTAGTTCTTATGTAAAATAATAATTTAGAATTATTTCCTTACCGTCTACTTGCAGCAAATAATAGAGATGAAATATATAAATAACGCAACGTCTGCTTCCATCCCGCCAAAACTTTGATCTGCATCAATGCGCAGCACTATGGTAAGCGTTGGCATACTAAGATGATACTTTTCGACTCTTTCCGCTAAACTTCGGATAAGGGCCTACACAGCTGCACAGTAATTTAGTTTATTCCAATATATTGAGTAAAAGTCGACCTGAGTCAAGTTTATAAATATAAAAGTTAACAGTACATTATTTTCATTACATACTTATTATATGGTTGTAGAGAACGAAAGGACAAAATGTTTATTTCGGAATTGTTTATAATGGTACATCTGTCGGCATTTTTTAATTGACTATGATTGTCAGACACATTAACTTTTCAATCACAATTTTAATTAAAGTCAATGCTAAACCCCATTCTTGCAGATACTATTGCCATTGATGCAGAACAAAAGTATGGTTATTTAATTATACTTTGTAGATATACCGGGTATAGCCCCATAAAACTTGTGACCCAGCAGAGTTCTTCCGACTGTTATGGCCATGGTCCCGTCACGTTTTTGCCACAGCGCAGTCATACATGCATAGTAAACTGGACCAAAAACAAACAAAAACATCCCCAAAAAAACAAAGAAAAACACAATATTGGCAGGATGAGTACACACTGGAAATACATTATTAGCTCTAGCCTTAAAGACACTGACCGGTCATGAACATTTTTTTCGTTTGTTTTTCATTTTTTAACATGAAGATAACGAGCAATTTTATTCTGAGCGGAACAAGAATTTACACTTGCTCTCACAAATCAGAATACCTGTAACCTTATAAATTTGGATTCAGCGCAGCCATTGTAATAATATCAGGCCTGGGAAGATAAAATAACAACTGGACACGAGATTAAAGAAATAGAAATGGAAATCAACGAAAAATGGCACTATGCCCTTCCGCATGCAATGGCACTTCATGCCAATGTTTTCTACTTAAGTCTTTTTCCTCATCTAGTTAAACTGATGGCCTTTTAAATACCGATGCTTTCCGTTTATCTTAAAGTGACATTATGCTTTTTTTCATAGTCAAGTTGACTGAATTGACTATTATATTCCAAGAAACTGACTGTTACAACAATTGATGGTAAAAATTGCTTAAGGGTAAATTATAAAGCTGCCTAAAATATAAAAAGAATGTCCTGTCTTTTTACTAATTGAATGTTACTGGTAATTTCCGAGGGATACCAACAGAAATTTCCTTGGGTCACTGTGAGTTAGTTATTGTTCAAGCGAAGTAAATTATCCGTCGTTTTTACCATGCAAATTTGACAATACAACCTGATTTGAAATCTGCAAATTTATCTAACGTATCAAAACGTATCAATATGGTAATCTCATATTCACCAATGATATCGTATTATTTGGTAACGAAGTTTAAAACTTTCATTTAAATATTCATTATAAGTTGATCATCATTTAAATGACACATAAATATACTCAATAAAAATCAATTGAATGTTGAGACGTGCTATTGTTCTAATCGTAAATATTTGAAATTAGCTGTGCAAGTTATGTTTTGACACCTACTTTTTTACTCCTTTTTCCAGATAATAAAACAGAAAAAAATAAACATCATTTATTAAGATCGAAAGTGAATAAGATAATTGCTTATGTGAACAAGCTTCTTGTCCATTTCCTAGAAGTAGCCAGTACTGGTGTTACATGATGAATCATAGTCGTACCCACTGTATATATTAAACAGTTTAACAACTAAGTCGCCGCTCGATTGCTCTATAATTCGATCATGGCATGCCATTGAAATGTAATTGCTGAAGCTTTTTCCCAGTCGGAAGTTACATTGTACATGTTCAGTTTGCAACGTTCAAGGTCTTTCAAGAAATTGAGGAATTGAATTGTAGGTATCAAACTATTATAGTGTCAAAAAAACTTATCAAATATTAGTAATTAAGTTATCTGTCGATCTGTAATTTACCTGCGAAGAGTGATGTCCATGCATTAATTGCAAATCTTTTATTTTCCGAAAAAAATGTAGGTATAGAAATTTGATCTGCTCATGATTGTAGGTTTTTAGTGTTGTTATATTTGTCTGGTCCTTCGGAATCATTGAGTCCAACATTTTGAGTGTTGAAAATTGAGTACCCTTCAAGCCGGTGCTAGTGGACGTTGGGAGTGATGCACTTTTTCATTATCTTTCATGTACAGAGTCTAAAATTTTCATGTAATTTTGTTGTGATTTATGCTTCCGATGGATCACCCCTTTTCCAAGATTTCTTTTCTAAGCGTGCATTGTGTGCATGATGTTTATCTTCTTTTACGTATATCTAGAAGTTTTTTGTTTGTTTGTTTGTTGTTTTTTTAGCGGTGAAACCAACACGTTTTTTTATAGAAAGGTTAACTTGAACTCATTACCTATTGAAATTGGTGACACATAAAAAATCGTACAGTTTTTCTTTTGGTCTTAGCATTCGATTGTTAAAATGGTATTGTATGGCCAAAGCTTTTATTCTACGAGCTTTACCTGCTGTTAACTGTTCCCTCGACATGTAATCACTGGCACTAGTGCTCTCCATCTTGTATAGCCTAGAACTGAGGTAACTGCTGATATAGTCACTGTCGCTCATGGTTTGCTATGGTTGACATATACATTCCATTCCATTCTGACGCGAGATCGTACAACTAAATATGCTTTAAATGCACCTTTTTACTTTATTATCTGCGGTTTTGCTGCGTCTGATCGGTCGAGATAGACTGAATGCTTTCATGAGCAATATTCCTTTTCTTTTGAAGTTCATTACTATCATTCCTGTTCTGTTTTGTTTGTGTTCAACAATGCTTTAAGAAAAATTTATGATTATGTTTTGTTTTTTGTTTTTTTTACAGCAATCTATGAATTGTTTAATATTAACCATGTACTTGATAGGTTAAATGTCTTCATTTGGTTATGCAACATCTGTTGGATTTGCAATAACCTTTAACATTAACACATAGCGATTAGGTAGGTACCTTTGGTTAATGACCACTTTCCTTGTTATAGTTAAAAATCACAATTTAATTGATATTTTACTATCGTTCTATGTCATAAAATGCAAGTTCTTCCGCAATATCGCGACGAACAACATCAGCAACAAGCACGCAATGTCTTCATGTATACACGGTATAAATATAAACACACGGACTGTATCAAAACACACACGGACAAGAACACTGACTCTATCAAAACACACAAGGACAACAACACTCACTCTATCGAAACAGACACAGATAATTTAGTTATTCGTTCATCATCGTGACAATGGCAGGGTGCTTGATTTATTTTCTTATCGTAAGCACGATTTTCACGTGTTGTCTTTCACAGAACAATCAGAATGATTATGATCCTATAGCGATTAACACCCCGGAGACTACACGCATTATGAACATCGCGGCAGCTCGTGTTGGTGTCATGTTGACCAGGCAAATATCCGCATTTAAAAAGGTTAGTTCACAATATTTGAACCTACAGCTATACATGATTCATTTGCATTTGTAGCTTCTACCTAACAAGCATATAAAAAAAATAAACATGCATGTTGTTTTTTTATCGAAATTACTACGCACTGTATTTGAAAATTGTCGCCTTATTATTATTAATCTGTTTATTTCTTAGCAAGTTATTTAATATTTTGTAATAAAGTTTCAAACTTTAATCAAGAGAAAACGACTAAAAATTGTAAATTGTGAAAGTCAGACCTGATCAAATGATCCTGATTTTATTTTCATTGTTTTATATAAATGATATTGATCGTATTTTGCTAGAATTAAATGGTACTCATTCAAAATGTAAACAACTGCTGAATTGCAAAGAAACAAACCTATTTTAGGATAAAATCGATGAATAACAAAACAAATAAAAAACTAATCAGATCAAAATAAGGATCAATTTTAGGATCAAGATCAATATTTGGATCAACTGTAAAATGCCCATATCTTGCAAAAATAACAATAAATTTATTCTTAAATTTCATAAACATGTGACTTTTATGCTGATTGCGTTCAAAAGAATTGTATCGCTTTTTTGTGCAATGATTACATACAAACTGTAATTGTATCAGTTCTTTGTAAAGGATTTTTCATTGTTTTAATGTTAATTTTCTTTCAGAGGAATTTCGCCCTGTTCATGGTAAACTTTGACGGAACACATCCAAATGGACTTGTGAGTATTTTGCTAATAACTTGTATTTGTTTAATAGATAATCATCATTGATGGGAAAAAGTCATGACTTTCTTCATATAATTTTATAACCAAACTTCGAATAACTGCAAACATTTTTCCCGTGAAATTATTGATACAAAATGAATGTCATTTTAGCTCTGATAATGGTCACCAATAAAAGGCACGGTATTTGTTTTAGTTCTTAAAATGAGCGATGGTACTCACTGCCTTTTAAACAGGGGGTAAAAACGGTAATGGCGTATTTCCATCTGGTGGTGGTCAAGTTTAATCTATATAAGTCGTACACCTTAACAACGAACATTTCAGCAAAGATAATTTAAGCCTGTGATTTTCTTAATTGAAGAGTCCTGCAAAAATGTCCTATTAATCAATTTCCGATGCGATTGTCAGTTTCTAAATGTTCATGGTGGTAGAATAAATAAGTTTTATTATGTAAAATGTGAAAATTTAACTCATTTGAAAAGTGAGGCCAAGACTAATTGGGTTTTTTTGCTGTTTTTTTACCAATTAAATATGGATTTGGATACTTCTCAACATTGTATAGAAGCATATGTTTGAAGATAATGAGCAGATTTAACAGTCAAACAAGATAATATTTTCGGTTAGTTTATTTTTTTTATTTTATCACTGTATATTATTGCAATCTAAAAGGAGAACAGTATAAATAAAGAGTTCTTTAATAAACTTTAACACACTCACACACTTATGAGTTGTACTGAAGTTATAAAAAAAGTCACATCCTTTGGTTTCGTAAAGTAAGTCAAACGTATGAGTTTGTGCATTGTTGTTCTTAGGAATGAATGAAATATAAATATCTATATTTTTCAAAATCTAATCTAATTTTGTATTATATTTTTCAGACTTTAACCTGTAATGCCGTTGTTTACGAGCGAAACAATGCCAACGCCATCGTCACCAGATGGAGCTGTACATTTTAAACATTTAACAAAGTCTCACTGAATCCAATAAAGTATATGTACACCTATTTGGTATTTGTTGTCATTGGCAATTTGTCTGTTTGTTTGATTGGGTTCACAGTATATAGGTCATACGGAGACGTTCCAGCTTTACTACTGGAGGAAGACCTCAGGTACCCCTCCATGCATCTGAGTAGAACCACCGACGTTCCGTTACTTAGCTTGATAGCTTCCCCACAATATGTATTTAGATAAAATCGAAACAATATTGAACATCAAAGAAAAGAAAGAAAGAAATATAGAGTCAAACATTCATAAAATATAGCATACGTTATTGCTCATTCAAGGCCCAGTATATCTCAGAAATACTCTCAAAAACATTTTTATTTTTAGTATCTTGTTTCAGATTCCAAAATACTTGTTTGCAATACTCATGAAATATCTTCAGCTTCTTTTGCTCTCTTGGCAATTAGTATAATTATAGCAACTACTTTTTTGTATTGAAAACAAAATTCTACTTTGTTTACATTTTTCTACCTTTACGACACATTACTGCATGTTCAGCGCTGCATTCTTCAGTTGTTATACCTCTTACATGTTTCTAAAATTCTAAAGCATAATTAAAACATAACTAAACACATGTTTGGATTTCTAAAGAATTAAAAAGAATATGAATTAATGAGACAAAAAGTGTATTTAAGCAAAATATATTTTATAAACGATAATTTCGTTCATGATTTAATTTTTTAATAAACAATTAATGGTAATTTGATTATGTTCAGTATTGCGCGCGACATTCGGTGTTAAACTACCACTATAATATTTAACACAAAAACAAATGTATGTACAATTACACACTTTGAAAATCTGAGCTTTTAAATTTCTAGTTTTTAGGAAACTTCTTTTAATGCTTTCGTGAGCTTTGAAATCACGAGAAAGCAATAAATAGACGCCACGAATGGCTAGATTCTAGCAACCGCCACGCAACACTTAACACCTGCTGTTGCTAATAAAGGGACTGCCCTTAAGCTTTTTCGACATGACAGGAATGGTAATAATTTCCGAGATTTTAATACCATTTAATGCTAGTCAGGTCTATATTAGTAACTTGTGTGTAAAAATTCAGATCATTTGATCACTCCTTTTCCATAACAATCTTTTTGATGTTCAAAATCGAGCTAAAATGAAATTTAAGTGTTTCAATGCTTTTGACTTAAATCGAGCAAAATGTCGATTTTCAATTTTTTCTGAGCATATTTCTTTATTATCTGTTTTCATATTATTCAGTTTCAAGTGCCTTAGTTGATCTTTGTTAAACTTTCAAAACTTATATTTTAGTTTCTTGGACATAATTGGAGCCTATTTCAGAAATGTAAAGTAAACAAAAAATTCTATGTCGTCGACACTCATTCTTTTTTACGTTTTTTTTCACACCTGATAAAATATCCAGCGTTGGCATGTTATTCCATAAAACAATCATTTGATCTAGTTCTATCACTTATGCCATGTTTACACTCCGATCAAATTCATTTATGCACTTCGTATAGCATTTTATTCATTTTCAAGTCCACAATTCTATATTGAACTTGTAGTAACTCTTAAATTCTGTAAAAATATATAAAAATCTGGTTATTTTACATTGTTTAATGCAAAACTGATTCTGTTGGACTCGTACACAGCTGCAATATCTTTATAAGACTCTGCAAATTTAATTTCTTATATTTTGACAACCGTGTACTCATCCAATCGAATTCAGTATTGTACTCAAAAGATGTAAAATAAACCCATTGTATTACTCCTCACGATTTAGTTCTGCTTTCTGATCACTTATCTGTTGGCATTAACGAGCTTCACCATGACAAAACCAACTTAGTGCGTTTGCGACCAGCATGGATCAAGACCAGCCTGCGCACCAGGATCCATGTTATTCGCTGTCAGTTTCTCTACATGTAATAAGGTTTGTTAGCGAACATCATGGATCCGGATCAGACTGTGTGGATGCTTAGGCTGGGCTGAATCCATGCTGGTAGCAAACCCTCGTCAGGCCAGCCTGCGTATCTATGGAGTTTGGTCAATAGCTAGTGTAAATATCCCAATCTTAGCACTAGTATTAAGATATTGAAATGCTTAAAACTTTGAATCGAACGGTCTAACAAAAAAACAATGCAAATCCAAAATGCAGTCAATTATGGGTTAAAACTTAAAACATACATGTATATTGAAATATGTTGTTTTTCATTAAATCAAATTTTTGTAATTCATAGAGCCATTTCATAGCATTTTCCGCTGCACAAGTAAGTGAAAATGTGTGTTTTTATTATTTTTGATACGAAAACAACCCTATATAGCATATCAATCAACAAATATCATAACTATTTGTACATGATTTGTAAAACGAAGCTCTGTTATATGTTTGTAGACACTTATTATGTTATTACAATATTGTATTAATGACCAATTAGACAATTAGACAATAATAACTCGTTTGTAAGCAGTCAGCCAGTCTGACTTGTTATCATTATAAAACGTGTTATATTTTACGAAACAAAGATGTAATTTACAAGTTATTAAGTTCTTTGATATTAAATATGACCTTAACATGGTCAAGGTCTCCCAATATACACGGCATGACGGCTCAAAATTGTATTACATCATTTTATTGTATGCTATATAAACGTTGTTTTTCGAAATGCGTTTCCTTGTATGACATATGTTTTTATCCTTTTCATATCCGATCACGTAAATTCGTTTTATTTAAAGTTTTTTTTTCTGAAAGATGAAAACAGAAAAAAAATCAACAGAGCCCCCAAACTTTTATCATCAAAAATTAAAGGTATCAAGACAGAGAAACACTTTTTTACAATTGCAAATCTTTGGGGAAGAAAACATGATAAAGTAGCATATAGTAGCACTATGAATAAGGGCGTCCGTGGCCCAGTGATTAATGTTGTTAACTCCAAACCATTTGCCCCTCACCTCTGTGGGTTCGAATCTCGCCAAGGTCTTTGTATTTTTCATGTAAGGACCTGGCTTACGGAACGTTGGTGGTTATACTCAGGTGCCTGTTCGTGCTAGAAATGACGCAAAAAAATTAAAAGAAAAAGAAAAATATGGATGTCAGTCAGGAGAAATAGTTACCAGTCTTAAACTAGGATATTTATGGTGGCTAATTTTACAACCCTTCTTGCTTCGTCGATGTACGTTTGTACCCTGGTGCTTTGTAAAAATTATTAGCAAATGACGAGTTTTTCAGATAATAAACAGAAAAAGACGACGTTTTCGGTCACAGAATAGCAAATAAAATCGTCGAAAGTATGTAGTTTTTGTTGACAAATTGTTCCAAAATCTTTATTAGTTCACCCTTTATCTAAAAGACTATATTTCATCTGATTGACCACCTTTAAGAATCATAAATGACGTAATGCTCTTAAGTTATTTAATATTTAAAGTCGGTACAGGGTGAGTTAATATTTTATTTTGCAGTTGCGAACAAAATGCATCGCTTTCTTCTTGCAAGCGTTTTAATTTTGTGCACGGTTTTCACGGGATGTTTTGCCCAGTCAGGTTACGAGCCGATAGATATAAACACGTTTACGTCACGCCGTATTATGCTCGTAGCAGCGGAGCATATTGGAGTTGAACTGACTAGAGAAATTTCAGCTTTTAAAAAGGTGAGTTTTGTTTAATTTACTCTGCAACAACTGATGGTATACCATAACATAAATGAAGGGGAGACTCAACTGAAAAAAAAGCCTAAAATACATAAAATTTTAATTCCTTACACAGATCAACTGGGCTACTTAAAAGAGAAAGATTGCCAACGACAATTTAGAAATGTTCTCTTAATTAAATAAAAAATCGTGTTTTTGTGCTATTCTTATCCCGATTTGAGCGGAAAGCATTGCGACGCTTTTCAATTTTGGATCATTTTTCACAATTATAATCATTCTTTAAAAAACGGCAGGAGCGACTGATCTGAAATGGTTGCACACAAATTATTGTTAAACACCTACATCAACTGGTAGAAAAACAAAACAAAAAAACAGAAACAAAAAAAAAAACGAAAAAAGTTTCCAGTCCAGTCATGTTAAAAAACTTTAGTGGAGTCCCTTTAATCAAAGTCTTGTGTACATATTAAGCCTGGCAACATTGGTCTGAGATAAATTCATCTTCGGGAAGTGTTCGCCAGATACCGACAATCATTACCATTCATTTACGCGTGTTTGTTTTAATAAGAGGTTCCGGGTTCGATCCTGGGTAACACCCTTGGGATTTTTCAGAAACACTTTTAGTGTTTCCCACCTAACTAGAGGTTTACTGGTACGAAACCTAGTTAATCCTCGCATGTATCGGTGCTATACACTGGGCATGTAAAAGAACCAGGGAATCTATTCAATAAGAGCTAGGGACTGGTTCCCGGATTTCCTTGTATCTCATAGCTGTCTCTAGTGTCTGCTGAGGTAAGTACCCTACTGGAAATAAGTGCTTGCACGTTTGTATGTTATCCTTGACCGCCCGGTCTAAAGAAAATCAATCAATCAATCAATCAATCAAAAGAAAGCATGATTGTATGATGGTATGTAAAATGAAGAAACATATTTGTGTTTTAACGATTCTCTTCAGTTGTCGTGTTTCTTCTGTTGAGAACAAGTATTTCCACATTAACTTGCGTTTGTGTTATTTTTGTTTCTTTTCCAATTTACATTTTCAACGTGAAGCATGTTATGATGCTTTTCTTTACATGTGTAGTGGAGCATTAGGTAAAGAATCTTAATAATTCCACGATATTTCCATGTATTGTTTGTCAATGATTTCAAAAGTCTCGGGTCAATATTGCTAGATGATATCTATGATATTAGATTGTAAAATAAATTTGTCACATTAAATTTAAAATGACATTATGCTTATATTTTCATTGTCAAGTTAAGCTAAATTGACTTTATATTTCAAGAGATTGACTGTTTAATTGATGTTTGAGCAACACATTATATTGGAAAATGTTTAGGATAAAATTTACAATACGCCAAAAATATTAAAAGACTGCCCCACTCTTTTCATAAATTGAACGTTACAGGTAAATTCTAAATGATATTTACTGAAATTTCGTTTGAATCCGTTGGTTATTTATTGTTAATGCGATGAAAATTATTAAATCAGAAGGAATTATGGCAAAATGAAAATTTATTTTGACTCTCACCTTTTCATTAACTATATACCTTTAGATAGGCATAATGTCACTTTAAGTATTGTAACTTTAATACGAGGTTACAGATTATTTTATAAGAACAATGTTTACAAAGAAGAAGATTATTTATGGATATATTGATATAAAATACTACTAAATTATTTAATAAAAATAGATGAACAGTTATCAACGAGTGAACATAGTAATAAGCCGAAACTTAATCGTTGCTATTCTATACTGAAGTCCTGAAAATGTTGTTGAAATGTATGGTCATGATGAAATACGTTTGTAATGTCAATTGACTTTGTCGCAATCTTTCTGTTAAAGATCGATGAACCGTGGTACATTGTGAATTTCGAGGGAAGTCACCCTTCTGGCTGGGTAAGAAATTTTTACTTTCTTTATCTAAGTCATTACTTATATCTACATCAATTACAATCTTACACGCAATTCTTTACACAAATCTTAGTATCATTTGTTATGAAAAAATAAAATTTAGTAAGTTGTTGCAAAAAAAAAATCAAATATGCCCCATAGTCGCAACCGATACCTGAGTAGGACGATTGGCATTTCATAAGCTAGCTAAATAGATTCCAGACTTGAAAGAATCCGACCACCTGTACGAGATTTGCAAACACGGCAATTATGGGATAATCGGCTGTAACTCGCCCATCATATTGTAGCATGGTTAAAATCGTTAAATTTAAAGCCCAGACCTGAAAAAAAATGCTTAAGAAAAATGTGAGTTTTCTTTTAATTGATCAATAAGAGTAATAATTTAATTTTAACGTTAAATGTTTTCAGACATGGACATGCACTGCGAAAGTGCACGAGCCTTCAATCGGACGCGGATATGTCGTGTGGTGGAGATGCAGATTCTGATGATGAAGCTTTCAAACTTTCTTGTTATAACCTGGTCTAATGTACTTTAACCAGAATATAATTAAGGAAAACATTCAATTTATATTCTTATTTTTCCCCTTAACCTTATTTTGTGAATTATCCTCTCATTTCCGAAATCAATGAATTTCTATCTCCGACACATTCATGAAAAACTTGATGAAATAACTGTTTCTTGAGTTAAATGCTATTGGGGGCAGTATTAAATTGTCATATTCAAATTAATGCAATTGGGGACAGTATTAAATTGTCATATTGAAATTAATGCTATTGGGGCAGTATTAAATTGTCATATTAAAATTAATGCAATTGGGGGCAGTATTAAATTGTCATATTGAAATTAATGCAATTGGGGGCAGAGTTAAATTGTCATATTGCAATAAATGCAGTTGGGGCGATAATTAAGGTAACAACACAAAAATATGATTTTAGTAAAACTGAAAAGCGCTGAAAGCAATTTTAGAAAGAAGAAGATTCAACAAAAATATGAATAAAGTAATATGGAAAGGCATTGAAAGCAAGTTGAGAAAATAAAATAACATTTATTTAAAACCGAATTAAAAAGGAAGAAAAAAAAAAAGGTTGTTTGGGAACTGTAATTGAAAAATCTTCCTTTAAAGAAATGAAAAAAAAATTTTACTTTCGGGCCATTTATTTTTGGGATGACTTAAAATCAAGTAAATGAAAAAATTTTGGGGGAACTTTTTTAGATATTATGACTATTTTCTTTTTTAACGCTTTTTAATCTTCCCATTTTTTGCTTTTTTCCTTTACGGTTTTCTACCCAAATTTTTTAAAATGAGGAAAAATCTTTATAATTTTTTAAGTTTGAAGGAAAATTATTTGAAGTATGCGTACCCGGCCTTCGTTTAATCACTTTTTGGGGTTCGGGTTTCCTAAAATGATATCATTTTTAATGACTCAGGGTCTTTTGGACCCATTAGGACTACTCCTAAATCGCGGGGCACCCCCAAATTGGGGCCAAGAAGCTTTGGGTTTTAAAATTTCCCCAAACATCATTAATTAAAATTTAAATTTATTTGCTTAATTACTCAAAACAGTTACTTTAATAAACTTTAGTTTAAACTTGTATATGTATAAATTAAAACGAATAAACGCTTTCATTGTATTCACTCGTGTCGTCCCTGTCTGTAAAAAAGTTTTGACTTGCATGCACGTTCGTAATTCATCTGATCTTGTCAAATAAGTTCAGAAAAAAATTTAAATTTTGGGCAAGGTTTTTTTGAAATTTTTTAATGTATCCAAATTTTTGCCACTTCAAACATTTTCCAAGGGTTTTATTTTTGTAACATAGGCCCAAAGGGAAAGGGCATATTAAATGGTCAGTTTTTTGCATTTTTTAAAAGTATTTCTTCAAAAGTTAACTCTTTTAATATTCCTTTTCGCATTTAGTATTGTAAATATTAAAAAAAATCCGTGATATAATTCCTCTACAAGCCTTTCTGTATTGATATGGTTGTAAAGAAAATGAGAACATAGATCAACAAGGCAAGACGACGTTCACAGAACGCAGTCCCCGACACAACCATGCCACAGCAGCAGGGCAACAAGAAGGAACCAAACCAAAACCGGTAGAGGATACAAGGGCGGTGAAAGGCGGGGAGGAACATGCAATCAGTGAAATTAAAAGGGAAACCACGAAAGTCTATTAAAATATCAAATTTAAATTTAAAAATTTTTGAAAAAATTTAAGAAAAGTTTGTTTCAAGATTTGGGATGAAAATTTAAACACGGTTTCGGGAAAAAAAGGGATTTTTCGATAAAAACTAGGACATGTTTATTGTACTTTGTCAAAAGAAACGAAATTATTGAATCTAATAATGTATCCTGTATTTTATCAAATATATTTCTATACAATCGTTGAAAAAACTGCTTTGTTGTTCAAGTACGATGTAGCTTAGCTTAATGTTTTAAGTGTCCTTGAATATGAATTATTAGTCTATAAATATCTTTATGCGTTTTCATTTGCAACAACAAAGCTATGACAACAAAAATGACGAATTGAGACCCCGATGTCAACACTACTGACTGCACTTGTTTATTTTTAACATTTAGGTTTTTCTTTCATCAAGAGACGCAAATTGATTTGCATTTATATTTAATGAGCAAATAAAACTATAAGACTGATTTGTAATGCCTACACCCCTGACTTGTTATGGCTTTGCCCTTGAAGAAAATTCATGTATATGCATTATTCAAACAACATGTAAAAAATACCATTGGATATGTTTTATATCATTCAAAACGATTTGTAAGTACAAATGAATATGTTTTATGCAAGTGAAAATAAAGTCTGGCTAAATTCAGTTGAGTTCAGTTGATTAAGATATCTGAAATGGCACCAGATGTACTAAGGACACTTGTTCTTCGGGCATTGGTCTCCACGTACATGTGTGATTATTTCTGGAATGTTTGCTGGGATCAAGTAGTGCACGTTGATGCCAAGGTCAAGGAATCCATGATTATTGCTGCCAAGGATATAGACAACAATGGGTACTTCTTGTTTCCAATAAAAGCTGGCGTATTTAAGAAGGTAATTTTAGTGTGTATTAGATATTTAAGACTGCAGGCTTGAGAAAATAGCCCTTTACGTCACTTTCCTTTTTGTTAAATTGACATATTAAATTCTTAAAAAAATTCAATTCTATAAATTTTAAAATATAAAAAAAATCTTTTGAAATGTGTGTATTGTAACTTATTCTGGGATCTTGAACAAAAGAGTCCTTTATTCTTGGATTTTGCAAAGGAAATCACAAACAGTGTGAAAAATGCTATGTTTTATTTAAGAGTTTATTGAATAAAGATAGTTTCACCGTCATCTTCCACAATACTTTCTATAGCTGCAGTTATACCGCTCTTCTTGTTTTATTTGATTTAGCATTTTGGGTACATTTTGGCCATTGTCTGCAAAAATAAAACTCTTCTTTTCAGATTTTGCCCCATCCTTGGGATCTATACAGGGTGAAGTTCAAAGCTGGTTTCAATGACGGCATTGTAAGAAATTATTTTTAATCTAAGCTCAAACAATCTAACCGAGAAATTAAAAAGTTTCACAATGAAATTTTTGTATACAGTCTTTGATTATTGTATAACTTTTATAAATTATATAAAATCGTATTTTTGTTCAGTTAAGGAAATGTGAAGCTCAGGTGTTATGGAAACAAAGAAGACCATCAAAAGACCAGATTGTGTTCCACAAAATGTGTGATCCTCCTATCAAAGCTCTGGATTTAAATGAAACAAGATATACCAGACGTTCAGAAATCGACATCAATTTACTTAAAGAGTTATTAGAGGAGAAGCACTGCCACACTAGAGACAAAAATTTGAAATAAATAATAATAAGATATTACCCTTTTATATTTTGTTTGTTATTCAGGACATTGAAGGTATCCATTTGTTAAAGGAACTCCACCAAGGTCCAAAAGCCTAACACATTATATTTGTTTGTTTTATACATAGATCAACTGGGCCACTTAAAATAGAAAAAAAACATGCAGAATATAGTTAAGTGATATACACAGATAAAAATTGAAATTCGTATTTTTTTGCTACTCTTAGCTCGATTTGAGAACGCCTTTGAATATTGGGTCATTTTTCGCAATTAGAATACTCATGCCGGAAAAGAAAAGCAGAGTGAGCGAATGATCTAAAGTTTTGTACACACGTTATTGGTCTAGAGCTTTATCAACTAGAAAATTACTCTTCAAAAAATATCTCAAAACCTCAGTTGAGTGTCTTTTAAGATATATCTCTTTCAAACCATTTCCTACTCAATTGTATATTTATTTAAGGATATTCTAAAGATACAATTAATCTTTTAACTATAAGGATTGTAACGTGTTGTAGGATAATATATGATGCAATATATATAAATAAAATATTTAAAACTAAATAAGTTTGTTTTCAATGTTTCAATCTTTTCACTGTCCTTGATTTTTCTATCCTCTATTCATAATTATGGCTAGGCGGATATATCATTCTCTTTATTTATTTTGTTTCGGTTTATGAAAATACCTGAATTTTTGATTATTTAAAATGATACGAAGTTTAAATTTTAATTCTGTCAGGGTGAATATAATATAATTTTATTGTTACTTTTATAATATACATTAACATATAAATGAAATATTGAGAAATACTGATGTAATAAAATGCATATTTTTATTTTCCATATTTTCACTGAAAATTTTTTTTTTTCATTTTTTCCTATTTTCACTTGTGTCTTGCCGGACTGCTTTCTTCTAAATTCAGCCAGTACTCAAAATGGAAAGGGAAGTTTTTACAAATTGAGAAAAATGTAGATAACAAATAGAACATTCAAGAGTTTTCTGTAAATACAGGATTTATGTTCATCGAGTGGTATGAAAATAAATATTTCATGAGTGGCGGTAGCCATGAGTATAATATGATAATTTTCATACCACAAGAATTTTCTGTTTATTGAATACTTTTTCTCTTTTTTTGAACATTGTGGGTAGAAATAATTCCTTTTTAACTTGTGTATTGGCTGAATTTAGAAGAAGAGTAGTCCTGCAAGACACCAGGGAAAATTTGGTAAATATGCTTTACTGCAATGAAAAAACTTGAATATCCTCTCTTTATTAATTAACGTAGTAGTTATTTGCATCAAAATACTATCATACGCAGACTGAAAATGTAATAGATCTGACGATATAAACGCTTCACTCTTTTTGTGACTATAAATGTAACGAAACACTTCTCTTAAATTTGATAAAAACATATGATCCAGTAGACTTTCAGAGCCTACATATGCAAAATGCGACAATGGCGTATTCATAAGGGAGGGATAACCGGGTGGGGATTACACCCTGTGGTCCAGAAATAGAAGAATAATAATTGAATTTCAACTTCCAGGTAAGCCTGGTTTAATTTATTAATTCTACTGCACTGGACCACCTAGGGTTAATGAGATTTTAGAGACCATGCTCACATTTTGATAACCAGTTAAAACTTCATAACCGAATACAATGATAACGCATTCAAACCACGACTATTAAATTAGCAACACTGAAAAT